CGCCGGGCCGCGAGTCCCGGCACCGGGCGGCTGTCCCCGCGACCAGGGCGGGGACCCGGCTCGGCAGGCCCGGGCGGGCAGGCGCTGAGCCCGGAGGCCGGGGCGCCGGGCCGGCGGGAAGTCGGTCCCGCGGAGCTCGGGGCTCCGCCTGCGCAGCGCTCGGGCCGCCTCCGCTCAGGACCGTCCCCGCGAGGGTCGCATGTCGGGGCCCGGCAGCTCCCGGAGGGCGGCGGAGCGTGGGGGAGGGAGGCTGGCCCGGAGCGGGAGGGAGAGGCCTGGAGGCCGGGGCTGGCTCCGCCGCAGCCTCCGCCGCGCGGCCAGTGCGGCGAGCTCAGGCGGTGGCGGCCGAGGCAGGAAACTTTGCGCCCTGGTCGGAGAAACAGCAAAACAAACGGCGGTCAGGACCCGGTGCCCGCTCGCTCAGCCCTCGCCCCCTTCGCCAGCCCGGCCGGCCCCGGCCGCTGGCAACGACCTCGACCGCGGCTCCCCGGGCAGGCTGCGGGGAGCAGGAGCCGGACGCAACGCCGGGGCCTCGCTCCCCTGCCGCCGCCGCCGGCCCCCGCCGCCGCCGCCTCAGCTTACCTTGCCAGCGCCGGCCGCCATAGTGACTCTGACTGAAACCTACCCGGTGCACCGCCACGGGAACGCGCACCCTTTTCAAGGGCCCTCCTGCGCCGTCTCCCGTGCCGTAGTCCGGGGAGGTCATGTGCGCGACGCCTTGGAAGCCATGTTTGTCACGGGCACAGAAGAGGGCAAACTCGTAGGTAACGTGCCTCTCGGCGCCATCTTTGTTAAGGGCTAGGAGCTTCAGCCCTCAGGACCACCTTAACGACCATTTTGGTTAAGGGCAGGAGAAACTTTGAGGGGTTGAGTGTTTCGAAAACACACAGCGGCAACTTCCTGATTCAACTGATGAGTAAGAAGGTACCAACTTTTACTAAATGTATTAACTGTAGTTCTCACAGGAAATGCTGACACGTAAAGAAGATAGATCCGGGCAAAGGAAAGACTCAGCAGCGGCCATCGCAGCTCTGGGCAACTGAGTCACTCCCCGCTGCCCTACCGGTGACCAAACAGATTCCACAAGTCCCAGGATTTGATAACACCGAGACTTTCCTCTGCTAAACTCTCCGCGCCGTGTGAATTCCATTTCGAATTCCTGTCCTTTTCACTGGTGCGACAGTGTTTCTCAGGGCTCCTATGTGTATTCTGACCTGGAATTAGTAACACCAGAAAGTTTTGGGTTCTGTTGTTGTTGTTGTTTTGGGAGGGGGAAGAGGGGCGGGGGATTGTGGGTTAGAGACAAGATTTCTCCTGTTTAGCCTGGCTGTCTTGGAACAACTCTGTATGTAAACCAGGCTGGCCTCGAACTCAGAAATTCACCTGTCTCTGCCTCCTGAATGCTGGTATTAAAGGCATGTGCCACCACTGCCCGACTTGAGACCAGAAAGTTTTAAAACACATTTCCAAACAAGGATCAAAAGTTTCTAGTGGGAAAATATGGGGTATTACCCAACTAACAATCCTGACGTATGTGTTAAACCTGAGAATCACGAGAAGAAAGACCAGTAATATAAGGAGTCATTGTTCTAAAGAAGGAAAAAAGAAAAAAAAAAGTGGCCAGAGCTGAATGAAAACCTTAAGACAGTAGAGAATCTTAATCTTTGAGACTCAGTGTTGACTTCACTCTTGAGATTTCTGTGAGCACGGGCTTCCCTGTGAAACCTGGGACGTCTTTTCACTTCTCTCAGCCACTTTTTGTCTTCTGTAACATATAACAATACATAACTTCATGGTATCAAACCACATTGATCAACAGAGTATTCGTTCCATTGCTTCTGGGGTTCTAGGCCTAAGCTGAGTCCAGGGGACACGGATGAACAGAGCCTTAATATCTGCTCTCTGCTCACATAACCAGTGTAGTGGGTTTGAGAATGAAGGAATAAAATAAGGTATATTTTATTTTGATATATTCAGAACTCAGGGACACCCTTCTGGAAGAAGTAACAAAAACTGAAAGAAGATTGAAGGACTACAATAAATAGGGAATTTGCTGAATGGTTTACTGAATTTCTAGGAAGAGAAATAGCAAGTAATAAAATGAGCCTGTTTAAAACAATACATCAGTGTGCCTAGCGCAGTGGCTAAGTAAATATTTAATGTGTGAATGAAAATCAGATATTGTTATTATTAGAAGATAAAGTACGAGCAGCACAAGTGAATGGCAAGAATATGTAATGCATTATAAAAACGTGTGTGTGTGTGTGTGTGTGCGCGCGCGCGCGCGCGCGTGCGTGCACGCACAGGCCCACTTGAAGCTTAAATTCATGGTAATATGAGTGTCCATGACCTGACCTCTCACACTTTTTCATAGTTCTTCATCATTTCAACAAATACATGGGATAACTACAGTATCCCAGGTGTTTTGACCTAGAGAATAAGGAAATGCTGAAGAGTTTTCATTTTTGCTTCTGATAACTTTTAGCCTTAAAAACAATAAAGCAAACCAGGTGTAGTATGCATGTAGTACAGAGCATGCCTGTAATCCCAGCCCTCAGGAGGCAGAGGCAAGTGGATTTCTGAGTTTGAAGTGAGCTTTAGTGAGTTCCAGACTAGCCAAGGCTACATAGTGAGACCTGTATCAGTAAGATAAGAAAATGTTTCATAAGTCTCTAATGAGTTGTGTGCATGAATTTTGAACTTATTTAAGCTTTTTCCCCCACTTGGGACAGGGTTACTCTGTGTAGCCTTGGCTGTCCTGGACTTGTCGACCAGGCTGGCAAACTCACAGAAATCACCTGCCTCTGCCTCCCTGAGTGCTGGGATTACAGGTGTGCGCCACCGAGCCTGGTTTATTTAAGCATTTTTTATTCATTCTACAAATATTTAATTGAATACCCACTGGGAAACAGAAACTCTGAAATGCCCTGAGATTTCAAAAATGAAGAAAAAAAAAAAAGAATCCCTAAGTTTCTTATAGTTTAGATGAAGACACAGTAAGATTCTTGCTGCATTTGGAGTAACTCTGAAACAACAGGAACATGGAAGAATAATGTAAACTGGGACTTCAAACATGAGTAGGAGCTGGGAGCAGAATGATGACATAATATTTGCATGGCCTTAGGTCCACCCCAGCACCACAAAAAGAAAACAACAACCAGGAATGTTGGAATAATTCAGTTAATCTGGTACTAATGAGATAGAAACATTTAAGGCAAAACAATATCCCGAACAAAGGGCTAGAGACTTGAGAAGACAAGACTTCAATGGAAGTAGAAGGAAGCCTGTATTACTGGAGAGTAAGGAGCAAGAGAATGAGTGGGAAAGGAGTCAGAAGTCAGAGAACTTGTAACCAGTGAAGTAGACTTCAGAACATTGTCGTTTTCCTTCTAGAAGGTCAAAATAAATAAAAAAATAAAATAAAATAAAATAAAAGTTGCATAATCAAACATGATGTCTATTACCATTTATGGTAGGTTCTCTGAAAATGTTGTTTTATTGTTGTTACTAATAGAATTCTTTTAGCTCTCCACTTACAGTAAGGAGCAAGATGTTTTATCTCTAGTTTGTATATAGAGAATCTTAGTCATAAATGTCAAATCAAAAAGAAATGTCTCTTTATTCAGTACTACTGTACTGTCTCCCAAAAATGATGTTAAACAAAGAGAGTGAGCTTTCTAGCAAGAAAGCTTGGAACTGCTGTAACCTGCCAGAGTAAAGAATCCTACCCTACTACATGGGGCACTGGCGATGCCAAGTGCATTGAAGGCGTTCTTCACCCACTGTTATTTGGCAGGCACAGAAAAGGCTTAAATTAAGAACTCTCATACATAAGATATTTTGAATTGTAGGCCATGTGGGTGTTCCTTTCTCTATCCATACAAAATTTTAATTGAATTAAAAACATTCCATAATTTTAAAAACTGGAATGGTAATATTTCATGGTGGTATAGTTCTCGTTTCCTTTTAATTTTTTTTTCAATGTTCAACTTTTTATAGACTGGTAAAATTGCCGCTATTGTGCTCTAGGCTATTTTTGTTTGTTTTTTGTTTTGTTTTGTTTTGTTTTTTCTGAGACAGGGTTTCTCTGTAGCCTTGAATGTTCTGTACTCACTTTGTAGACCAGGCTGGCCTCGAACTCATAGTAATCCACCTGCCTTTGCGTCCCCGAGTGTTGCCACCTTGCCCAGCTGATCTAGGCTACTTTTCAATCTTGGAAAAGTAAAGATAAAATTGTACATTTATTATCACAGTACCATTCAAGTGGGTATCATTTTCATGACAGATATATTGGGGACAGTTCTGTAAATTCAGTTAATATATAGCCTTCCATCATGGCCTAATTGGATTTCAGCTAATTACCTTGGATGTAATAAATCATGGAATGATTTATATAACTGCTTACAGATTACTGGTTTGAAAATGCCATCCAAGCAGACATATCCAAACCTCTAATATTGCAATAGAATATTGTCATCTACAAAGATCCCTTTTTTTATTATTATTAAACAGATACTTTAAAAGATTTATTTATTTTTAGTTTATGTTTTTAAATGTTTGTCTATAAATATGTATGTGTACCACTTGAGTTCCTGGTACCTGAAGAAGTCAAAAAAGGGCTTCTGATCTCCTAGAACTAGAGTTAATAAGCAGTCATAAACCACTGAATGTGGGTGCTGGGCCCTGAATCCAGGACCTCTGCAAGAGCAGCAAGTGCTCTTAAATGCTGAGCCTTCTATTCAGTCCACGTAGGTCACTTTCAAGAACTCACAACTGAGCTTTTAAAAATAACTACAAAATATGTAATGTTTTAAAGTAGTTTACAATTTTGTGTTGGGCCACACTCCTAGCTATCCTGACTTCAGCCTGTGGGCCACAGGTTGGACTCAGCTGCCAAGTAAGAAGCCAAGCATACTGAGATATCAAAAGTGTGAGCATTAGTATTTTTAAAGACACATGCTGGTATATTATGATTGAAGCTTAGCCAGTCATGGTAGTGCACAGTTGTAACCTTAGCACTGTCGAGACAGAAACAGGAGGATCAAGAATTCAAAGCCAGGCTGGACTACAGAAGGAAATCAAAGCTGGGTTGAGCGACACAAGACTCTATTTAAAAGGGGGGAAAAGTTGATTTTCTGCCCATTAAGAAAGGCTCTACTCCGCAGTGGAAACACCCATCGTTTCCCAGGTGTCCAGGGTGGAGTTGCCACCACATTCCAGAAGCACTGCTCATCTGTTTTGCTTTCCTGGTTCTTCAGGAAATAAAAGAAAAATAATTACCCAAAGACAAGTAAAGACATTTATATTTCACTCAACACACTATTCCTGCAAATATAAAAAGAGGGAATCAGAGTATCAACTCCAGAAAGAATCACAATTAATCTAACTCCTTCATTACACAAGAAGTCTGAGACCCAGAAAAGAAAATGTTATTAAATCTGTAGTTACTATCTCGTAACATTTCTATACTATAGCATCGACCCTATTTTATAGGTAGGGAAATGGATCTGAAGGCTTAAACACTAATATTTTTCAATGATAAATCCTAAATCACCATACACACCCAGAGTAAAAATTTAAAAAAAAATCTTTAGTAATTTTTCTTGATTGATAGGAATGTATACTTTGTGGTTATTCAAATAGAAGTCCTCTCTAGAACAATACTAAATGCCAAGTCTGGTACTCCTAACAGTTTGTCAGCTATATCCTTTGACGTGTTCTCAGCCA